TAATACGCTTTTAATACCAACCATTTATTTCCTAGCATTTTATATGACTTACAGAATCACAAAATATAAGAAGCTTCATATCATTGGAGAACAACTTATTCTACCGGCTGCTTTAGATATGATAAACATCATGATTGGGGAGTTTTCTGAGAAGCTGCTTTTAAAAGTGCCTTTTTCAAATAACACAGTTAGTCGGAGAATACAACATATGACGAAGGATATCAACGATTAGTCTACTGAAAAATTATATGAGGGTAATCTTGATTGCAGGTAGATGAGGCTATGGATAATAATAAGGATGCTCATTCGATATGCTGTATAGATTATTGATGGTAATAATATTAAAGAAGACTCTGTTTTGTAAAAATATCTCTGCAGGAGCAAAGGCTCATGACCTGTTCCAGATTCTTGAATGCATTAATATCTGAAAATAATTTTCATTGGCCTAAGTGCACTGGAGTTTGTACTAATTGAGATCTCTTCATGTCTTACGCCTATGAAAAATTACAGCCACTTATTCGAAGCAAATAATCGAATGCAATGTGGACCCTGCTTTGTTCATAGAGAAGTGCTTGCGTCAAAGCGTCCGAGTCCCTGTACTGAATCAGGTGTTAGAATGTGTGCGAATGTGGTAAATTTTATAAAATCTTGTTCACTGAAAACAAGAATTAAAAAAAAAAAAACTGTGTCATAGAAGCCGAGTACTCGTCTTTGTTGTACTATAGCAGTGTACGATGCTTTTCTCATGGTAATAATATATCACATGTACCTTTGAATTGCGGTTGAATTTTCAAATTTTTTTTTTATTTTCCTTAAAGAGAAAGCTGATGCCTATTTTGTAACAAAACTGCAGTATTTATATTACATTTTTGGAAAGCTGAATCCTCTTAATCTCTCTCTGCAGGGAGAAAACGTGCACTTTTTGCAGTCAACAGAAAAATATCAACCTTAAAAAACAATTCAAACTGCTGAGAAGGAAACTGAATGAAGATTCAGGCCAAAATTGTTTTTTTAATACAGTAGTGATTTTAACGTCAAATGAACTTAATCTTTCTCAAGATATAAAAACCATGTCTGAAGGGCACTTATCATAGCTAATTATCTGGTTTGAGAAGTACTTTCAAAATGAAAATTTTGATAGGTTTGCATGGATTCAAGATTCATTTAACACTAGTGCTCCATCTGAATTTTCTTCTGCCTAAGAAGAGAACTTTATAAAGTTAACTTATGAGAACAGTGTGAAAACAAAATTTACCAGCATGGAATTGATAGATTTTTGGATTTCAATAAACGATGAATATCCCCTTGTAAGTGATAAGGCTCAGAGGATTCTAATTCCATTTTCAACGTCGAATTTGTGTGAAGCTGTGTTTTCAGCAGTCGCTGTAATAAAAAGCAAGTATAGAACAAAAATCAATGTGGTAAAGGAATTGAGAGTGGCCGTGCCTAGTTTAATTCCACGATTTGAGAAAATTTGCAGTGATTTGCAGGCTCATCCATCACATTGATTACTAATTTATTCGTTAATCAAGTAAAACAAAATGTTAAATAAGGAAGATACACAAGTTTTTATTAATTTTTATATCTTACCTATGATTAGTCATACTTTTGCTTAGGGTAGAGTGCTATGGAAAAATTTTAGTTGAAAAAAGTGCCGCGTCTCGGAAAAGTTTGAAAACCACTGTTTTAAATCATTATCCAAGGTAGTTTGCCAGAATCGAATTCGTAGAAAATTATGCATAAACATCTCTCTGGCCCTCTATGTGTAAACTCTTCTAAGATACAGTCCTCATGCTGGGACATCACTTTTCATATTATAACTTTGAAAATAATAAGGAATGATTTGAATTTACTGTTTCATATGACATTACAATTATGCACTTTATGATTCTGGACTTTTTTTGGGGGGGGAGCAAAATAAAGAAAATGCTACCAAAAAAAATATTTTCTGAGTTAAACAATATGTGACTGCAAGAAATTATGCAGCACTTATGAAATAAGAAATGAGAAATTTTTCGGTAGCGATAGTTTTGAAGAAGCTGTGTTGATTGGCGTTAATGATGTATATCCAACAGCTTATTCTTTTTCTATTTACAATAAATCATCCTAACTATTTATCCAATTAGTATATTTATCAGTAATATTTTACTACATTTTTCAGGTTTTTAAAAGACAACTGAAAACAGACTATCATTCGTTTTGCTTCCCTTTAGAATTAAATATATTCACTTTTATCTGATATATTTTTATTTATTTGTAGAGTCATTAGGTTTTTTTCGAAGCAGGAGACATAAAAAATGAGCAAAGCCCTCGCACTCGAACCTCTCGAATATGCACCAAGTGTGCAGACCACTACACCATGAAGGCATGCTAAAAAGGCGGGAGAAATACCTTATATACTCCCCCCTTTTAAAGGGTGACTGGGGATTAGGGGACTCAATTGCCAAATCCTTGTGGTGGAGAATCATCATCCATCACCTTTTTTTTATTTCGGGAGCCACTGTAGAGACATTAGATTATTTTTGAAGCAGGAAAGATGAAAAATGAGCAATGTCCCTGTTCGGGCGTCACTGTAGAGTCTTCGAAGCAGGAGACATGAAAAATGAGCAATGTCCTCGCCGTGACTCGAACCATGGACCTTTCGAATACGCGCCAAACATGCTGACCACTACACCACGAAGGCATGCTAAGAAGGTGGGAGAAATATCTTATAAATTATTTAAATTTTTTTTAAAATTGATCTCATAGAGTTATAAATCTTTTATGGTTATATAAATCATTTCCACTGTATAAAGTATCAAACTGAATTCGTCTCCTAGTGCTTTTTCGAAAAACCATCATACTGTGCTAAGTATTGTTTAATACAGCTTACTGACTAAACAAGAAACCAAAACTTAATATGATAGCTGTAATATTTTTAATGTTACAACTATCAAGTTACAGCTATCAAGTTTTTAATGTTAGAGCAATGTATATGTTTAAATAATATTTGGATCTATGTGCATGCCTCGTATATGTCATGGTATGTATATATTGGGATATGAATATGATTTTTTCATAGGCATCTTTTTTCCAATATTTATCCAATTTTATGCATATGTTTGTAGAGACATTAGATATTTTTGAAGCAGGCAAGATAAAAAATTAGCAACGCCTTCACTAGGAATCAAACAGCGGACCTCTGGAATACCAGCCCAGCATGCAGAACCACTATACCACGAAGGCATGTTAGAAAAGTGGGAGAAATACCTTATATACTCCCCTTTTTAAAGAGCGACTGGGGATTTCAGGGGACCCAATCGCCAAATCCTGGGTGTGGAGAAACCTCATCCAACACCCTTTTAGTTCGGGCTCCACTGTAGAGATGTTAGGTTATTTTTAGGAAGCAGGAAAGATGAAAAATTAGCAACGCTTTCGCCAGGAATCGAACTGCGTACCTCTGGAATATCGGCCCAGCATGCAGAACCAGTACACCACGAAGGCATGCTAGAAAAGTGGGAGAAATACCTTATATGTTTAATAACCGAATATGTATATATAAATTATAATGTAAGTGCTGTGTATATGCTATGGTATGTATTAAGTATATGCCCGGCCTATTGTAGTTTATGCTGTGGAACATAAAACCAGTACTCAACTAGACAGTTGCGGGTACCAGATGATACCTGATTTGTCATAAAAAGCTGTCTGGATGTCCGGCCGTGTATTCACCTGTAATATTTTTAATAAATATAATTATTTAGATATGACAATGACTATAACGGCAGCAGATCAGTTTTTAATACCATATGCATCAAGTTGCATCTAATGTTGCTTAATTTATTGAATGTGGAGTAGTTTACATTTTTCAAACTTAAGAAAATGAAACACAGTATTATCTTAATAATTTCTAATTGTGTACTTGAAATTTTAGTTTGACGTTTAATGCTTCACATTAGAAAACTTAATTAATGTGTAATTTAGTGTCAAAGATCATAACTTCTTATCAGGAAAAAAGGATCCTAATTTTAAACTATTAAAACGCAGTAGAAAACATTTGATGCAAACTACTACTTTTCACAATTTTATCGCACATTGTAAAACTATTTAAAGAAGGTTGTAAAGATTGGGAAAATTAAAACTACAAGAATATGTCCTAATTCACTGAAGGAAAGCTTTTACCACACTAGTATGATAATAAAAACTGTACTTTAAGTAATAAATATAAAATAAAAATAGTATCTAATTATTAATGTAATTCATTTTTTTATTTGGGAAAAAAGTCAAATCTCAACTTTATGATTTATAATAGCAATTTAGGGCAGGTTTTTTAAAAAGAAATACGAGGTTCTTTATGAGCTGAGTAACAGAAATTAATGGCTTTTCAAATTTACTTAGAATTTCCTTCAATGTTTTTAATTAAACATTTAATTTCGATATATTCTTAAAAATATTAGAAAGAGATAAAATTTACACAGTAGTAAAACCATAAAGTATTTTTATTTGTGCAGTACTTAAGACTTGCCTTCAGAATATAAATATAGGGGTCTTATTTCAGAGGATGTGCATATAAAAGAAACACTTGTATAAAGAGAGATTGATTTCATGTATTTCAATACATAAAACATAAAATTAAAAACAAATTTTATTTATTAAATTAAATTAAAACTGAATCAATTAATTTTAGTTTAAAAATTAAAAAGAATTGTTGATTTCTTTGCAAAAGTTTGAATTTGAATGAGGTATTATATTATGTAAAAAATTAGACTGTTTTGGAAAAATTCCATTTCAACAAATGGGCACCCTTTCCAGATTCAGGGCTGGGTATGCACCTGCTATGGAAGTTTAAGAGATTTGCTACAAATAGCAATGAAAACATTTTTTTTTTAAATGCAGGTATCAATAATTATGGAAATTGTTATGTGTAACTATGAAAATCAACTGCTAGATTTTTAAATTATAAACTAATTTAGAGTAATAAAAGTCAAAATTTGTAGTTACAAATGAATTCCTTTTTTTAGGTTCCATGTGATGAGCGTCTTCCATTTACACCAGGACAGCTGTTACTTATGATGCCCAGTATTACTTCTATATTGCAACTTCAACCATTTTTTAATACTTTGTCTGATATTAGAAATCAAAAAACTATTCCGGTGAAAATTACGAGAGGTCTTTCAAAAGATGAAAACACAGCATCTCCAATTTCGAAATCTAGATCAGCTCCAGATTTACATTGTCTTCTTAACACTCCAAATATATCACATACAAACTTTTCAAAAAGTACTGCAGAGCAAATAGAAATGGTGTTGGAGGCAGACTTTGTAGAAGCCTGTGTTTCCTAAGAGTTAATACCTTTCAATAAAAGCCATGAATTATAATTATTTTTATATTCCATATTTTATTAAAAGTGGAATAAGTGCATATGTTACGATTCGCATTAATTATTCTAACGAATTCCTTCAGAGTTTTTAAATCCATAAATGAATATGAAAGGTAAGATATTTTATAAATTTTTTCTGTTAACATTTTAGTACAAATTTTCCATTAATATGGGACAGTGAAAGTGTTGTGCTGATTTATGTTTCATTGTGCTAAGTTTACAGTTGATTAATTTTGTTCCGCTATGAACTGTGATATTGATGGTATTTATTCTTAGACAAGGCAGTGTAGATTGTCTGAAAATTTTATTTTTCATTTAGTCTCCGTTATTGACTTACAATTCTCAACCTTGAAATAAAATGTATTTACATTTCTAAATTGACTGTGTATATTGACTAAATCCATATTTATATTTTTATGGATAATGTCATCTGTCTGCCCCATTTCTGTTCAGTGTTTCATTCACAAGAGGAAAATTATGGGGTTTGTGATAGTCATAATTCAATTTTAATTCATTGAACTCAGATTGTGTAAATAAAAGCCTGTTTTGGTTACTATTACGTGAAATTATTTATAAAGTTCTTTGTATTTGCATTGTATAAAAATTATTTTGACTTTTTTATTATGAAATTGTACAGGAAACTACAAATTTTTTAAGTTTGATATATTTTGTACTGTTTTTCAGACTTTACTTGACTTTTAGTGACGATTTCAAATGCTTAGATCAAACGCAAAAATCCTTAGAAATAATTCTCATCTGTAGACTGAGTTTGCTCAATCATTCTCTCTCCTCTCCCATACTGTCTGCTTGTTATATTTAAAATTGCAATAGAACCTCGTCTGTCTGAACTAGTTGTGGCCCAGCTAATTCCGTTACTGACCAGATGATCTATTGTCAGATTCATTTCAAAGAAAAACTCATTTTTGCTTGCATTATTTTCAATAATATGTTATTCTTGATTACATTCATAATATAATAAGTTCCAAATTTTTATTTTGAACTTTTTTCAATCTTTGAATATAATGAAATACATTACTGTGTATTTGTAATCACGTAAAATTTGAGGTAGAACTCAGGTAATGCATTAAAACATTTCATTTAAAAATTTTAAATGATTAGTCTTCGGCTTTACTATCTCAGTGTACTTAACCTGTTCAATTAGGAGAAGTTCGATAAACTGCAGCGTAATTCGTATGTTTTGTAAATATATATTATAATCCACTCTGTTGCTGTCTTATGGCAAATTATAAATTAATATATTAACTAGATTAACTTATAGTATGCTAAAGGAGTATTCCGTATCCCCAAATTAAAACTATACTTGATTGATTGTGCTTCACAAATATTATTTTCTAAATACGAGTATTATTTTATTGACATTTTCTGTATCTAAAGAGAAATAAAGTTTTAATCTTGTCCTCTGCATGAGTTTGTACTACTACCTCTATTTTATGCCTGAATATTTAGTTCTGGTTCTGTCAGTGCATTTTGAGGAGGTGCGTTACGTTGTGCATAATTTTTAATGTTTTAAAGTTCTGTAGTCAGTGGCCTAAGTGGAGTTGTGGCTTTAACTAAATGGCATAGCCACAAAGCCTTAAATTTTATAAAATAAGTCTGCTGATTTTTAAAGACAATATAGTAAATACTGTCCAGTTATACAAAGACATGTAAAGCAATTTGCCAGTTGTGTATCTAATGTTATGTCCTGACTTTAAAATGCTATTTTGTATTGTATTTACTTTCTTGTAAAGTATTTTTATTCCAACTTAATATGTACCTCTGAAATGTGATCATGCTAAAATTTCTGTGACATTGACAGCAAACAAGAAATTCTGTGTATTTAGCTTTTTAATAAAACTGTTGCCATTAAGAATGTTATGTGTAGTTTTTAGTCAAAATATCCGAACACTTTTTAACTATAAGCTACATAAAATTTATATGGTATTCTGAATTTAAACTTTATTATTTCTTCTTTCTCTTTTTAAGTAACAGTGACACATATTATTATTTCTTCTCTCTCTTTTTAAGTAACAGTGACACATATCTGTTTATCATAAATTTCATAAAAGTCTGTATTGAAAACTCTGTAATACAAAATTGTTAACTAAACTTAATCTATTGCAATTATTGTTGACGAGCAATATAGTAAGAAATGACTCTGCTATTCCTTTTACGTTCATTATGCAATGTGGAAAAAACATTCTCATGGCAAAGTAAAAACAATATGGAGGAAGCGCGCTATAAAACTAACATGAGTTGTAGAACTTACTGAGATATGCAAATGTTAGTATTTCATTGCATGCGGTCATTACACATAAGAGTTATGAAATCTTGAAGCAGTATAAAAGGGGCTTACTGAAAGCCAATTTGAAAATCGCATTTACTTGCTCTTGTGTTGAAGGTCTGGTTATGTCTCAGTGTATGAAGAAGAAACTAATGCTAACATATGTGGAATTGTATTATGGAAAAATCGTAGTCTTTTGGAAGTATGACCAATGTATCGCGCAACTGCTGTTCGTGGTGGCCGAAATCTAGTGACAGTTAGATTTTGTAATCATTCAGTACAGGAGGTGCAAAGCCTCCTTTCTGCCCGAGACGACATATATCTTTCTTGTCCTTGACGCTGTTAGGAATTGATTGAATAGTAGCATCATGTACCCTGGGTCAGGATATTGGGTGTCTTGCTCGGCCACATGTGCAGTGCGACTTCAGCAGGACGACCATCCTTTTCGTTTCCCTTGATGCTACAACATAGGAATCTGTGCTTACAATGGTGCGTTTTTATCATTTTATGGCACAATATTTTCATTTAAGCCTCAAGAAAAATAACAATGGCATTATCCCAATGTAAAACTTCTACTCTGCGGAAAATCTCAAGAAACCTTGTAGAGTTTTCTAGTATGTTTTGAAATCGTACACTGTAGACTAAACTGTAAAGACTAAGTAGCGAATTCTCGTTTGGTCTTGGAAGAACAGATGACTGCAGAAGGTTTAAATAACCTTTTTATTTGAAATTAGCAGAAATGCACTCACTCAGTGCTCATAATTTAGCCCCACTTGTGGCTAAGTAACTTAACAAAAAATAAGATGTACAATCACAATAAAGTAATATTGGTTACACGGCTGGCTCTTTCGTTATCTATACCGCTAAATTGGCTGCACGCACCAAAGACAATCGTAGAATATCAATATAATCTAAAGAGAGTGACTAAGCACCAACTATTGACGTGCAAAGCTACCTCAGACACGTGGCATAAAGTTGGATGTTTAAATAACAACTTCTCCCTCTGACCGACAACCTACATGTTAATAAGCTCAAACACACTAGACTTCCTATATTCAAGCTCGTCCTAGTGCACATATTCAAAATGCATTAAACATTGTCTTCAGCCAGGAAGCCTAACATACCTAAGCTAGTTTTAACATTTCGCTAAATTTTAAACTTTCAATTTCTGAATGTAGTTAAACTAGTTTTACAAGATTACAACACTTTTTTTTAAAAAAAATTCAGAAGCACATTTACATTAAACACAGTTGCAAAACAATATATATGTTACGGTGAAACACCGAAATCTGGAGAATGTCGACTTTCACTGGTGAATGTCAACATTTACATAGTCGCTTGGTGTATGTCCGAAATATTTTCCAAATACTCTTATTTCTGATTTACACCGGTAAATGTCGGCATTCACCATGAGCCAATGGTGAATGTTGAACATATAACAATATTATATTTTCTTCTCCGTAATTCAGTCGCGAATAAACGCACTTGAGACATGAAATAAGAACTTAAGAACATGAGAACCTAAAACACACAGTACATTCAAAATGAGAAAAGAAAATAATAGAAGTTAAAAACTTAATTAATTATACAGTACTTTCTAAATGAGAAAATAAAGTAACAGTAATAAAAAACTTACTAAATTATGTGATTCAAATCTTATTTATTGCAACAACTTAAACTATTATGGCACTTTATGACCTCTCTTTTCAACTTTCACCAGAGCATATCTGTGATTGTCGACATACACCGGTAAGGGTCCGAATAATACAAGAATGTAGTGAAATATTCGGTCTTTCACCGACGTATTTGGTGAATTTTGATATTTTCCAGTGAAAGTCGACATTCTCCAATTTCGGTCTTTCACGATAACATATATACAAGTTTCCAGTTTCTTATATCCAAATGACACAAAGTTACTAGTAATAATTTTATCTCGCCGAATCGCATAAAACAGTCTCTCGACCAAACAGCGTAATTCTTGATGGGAAAGAAAAATTTCATAGAAATATAAATTTTCAGATTCTTGCTGAAACCGCTAAGAAACTTCGAGGACAAACAATTTAGATAACGGTTAACAAGCAATTTAGTAAATGCTTAGACATAACAGCGCTGAAAGTTGAAAATAAAATCGAAAGTTACTTATCTTTTCGAGTTGGCCTAGTCGCTCATCCGTTTATTCAGGAAATGGTGCCAAGTGAGCTACTTGGTTGCGGTTGCAATTGCTGTCCGCTGGCGTCTGGTCTGTCGTTGCTTCTCCGACTAGGGTCCCAATTTTCTTTTCATGGCTACATTCTTCTATTCTTGACTTCCTAGGGAAAGTATCCTCCGGAGGTGGTGTCTTTCTCCCCTCGGGGAATCACCATTTGGTGTCTGCGGCGGGATACCGTCCTTTTGGCTACTTGTTCTATGTCGCCCAGTCTCTGCCGCTTGCCGAAGAACGCTGTTGTCTCTTTCGCCGGCTGCAATGGATTCCTTCTGCTCGTTCTGAATCTTTCGCCGGACGTTGTAGCTTCCTTTCCGCTGACGGTACCTTTGTTCTTTGACCGGTCTTGAGGATTCTTCTAGTCTTTTTTTTTTTTTTCCTTTTTACTAGCTGCTTTACCTGGCCCCTTAACTTCCGTATTTTTCCATTTCTGTCCTGCGTTGATCTTGTGCTGCTTGGATGGGATCACATTTGCTTTCCTCTCAGAAGCCACATCTGGTAACCGTGTTCGGGCTGCAGCTGGCTGTTCTTGGCTATGAACTTTATTTCCGTCGGTATTACTGGAATTCTGCTATAAGTCTTATCACAACGATCGTAATATTTTTAATCTGAGCTACACTGGTGTGCAAAAATTAAATTAAGGATGAAGTCGAAAAATTAGCATATCAGCTGAACGAAGAGGCAGAGCGGACAGAAAAACCAATCAGGAGATTAAGTAAGGTGATGTACGGTAGCAGATGCACAGATATGCAGGTAGACGTAATGGGGGAGTGTCTGAGTAGTATAAAGCATGTTGTCGGTGTAAGATTAGTATTTCTGGCAAAGAGATTGCACGCCGTATAGCAGTTAAAATCACACCGAGTTGCTGCCTCAGTGAGAAATGGCGAATAATCAATCTGTTAGACGACATCTGGATGCTTTTACCCGAGGTCGAATCATTGGGAAGTTGGAGGAAGGCCGCAGTGTGACAAGTGTGGCTGCAGAGTTCGGAATTGCTCACAGCATCGTTTCACGACTTTGGAGACAATTTCAAACTACAGGAACAGCTATCCGGGGGTTTAGTAGTGGTCGTCCACGAGGAACCACACCCGCAGATGACCGGTATATTGCCTTATAGGCCAGAAGAAACAGGCGGCAGACAGCGGGAGAAATCGCTAGACACACGACACAGGCGACTGGACGACCGATATCGCGTTTTACCGTGGCCAGAAGACTGCACGGTGGTGGTCTGTTTGCACAACGCCCTGTACGGTGTGTACCTCTAACGCCTGCCCATCGGAGAAGGCGTTCTCTGTGGTGCCGGGAACACCGGAATTGGAGAGACAATGAATGGGGACGAGTACTCTTTACAGATGAGAGCAGATTCAGTCTGAGTAGCGATTCTCATCGCATACTCATCTGGAGAGAGCGGGGAAGCCGCAATCATCCCTCGAACATCATTGAAAGGGACAGATATGGAGGTGGCGGTGCTCTCGTTTGGGGAGGCATCATGCTTGGTAGTCGTACAGACCTTCACATCTTCGATGCAGGTTCAGTCAAAGGGACCCGTTATTGTAACGAGATTCTTCTTCCATATGTGCGTCTTTTTAGAGGCGCTATGGGTCCGCGCAGTTCCTTTTCATGGACGACAATGCACCATGTCATTGCACAGTAGCTGCCGAACAGCTCTTAGAGAGTGAGGATATTGAACGTATGGATTGGCCGGCACGATCTCCGGATCTCAATCCCATCGAGCATGTATGGGATTTTCTAGGCAGACGCTTGGCAGCTCGTACCTTACCACCAGTAACGATTCCGGAGCTTCGATTGGCGCTGCAAGACGAATGGGCAGCAATGCCTCAACAACTCATTGACACCCTCATTCTCAGCATGGGCAGACGCTGTGAAACCTGCCTAGCAGTCAGGGGAGATCATATCCCCTATTAAAGACCGGATGATTCTTGCTGGACACCCATCACAGGGATGTTTCGGCCTTCAGTCGCATTGCGCTCCATGCTACTTTTTCAATAAAGCTTCTTTTTATCCCTCTGATTTCTCTTTTAGTAAGTGTTGCTTACATTACTCATGTCCTTACGTATTGGGGATCGTACGGTATTAAATGTGTTGGTTTGGAAAGCTTTTGTACAAATTTATATTGGAAAAACCGTCTCGTCCTTAACTTTTGCACACCAGTGTATATTAACTTTACCCTCTTCATCGTTGGTATTTTTAGGAATTGTCGTGATTTCTCGAATACTTTGAATAATGAAAGGTCCATCAAATTTAGGAAAAAACCTTTGAAACGTTTCCTTCGGGAGCACAAGATACGTTGTGTTTCAATTTTAGCACCTTATCCCGATGCTTAAATTTCCTTCCCTTCGCCTTTTATCGTAATGGAATTTTTCTT